TTCACCACAAAGCAGGTACAGTAGTTGTGAAATCTGGCTTTGCCTCACCCTAATTCATCCTCCACACCGACACACCGTTACGGAAACCGACACATACACCGTTACCGACACCGACACCGACATCACACCGACACCGACATCACACCGACACCGACATCACACCGACATCACACCGACATCACACCGACATCACACCGACACACTTACACCGAAACAGAGACCGATACCGATACCGACACCGACTCCGATACCGACACGACGCGGACACCGACACACTCACACACACACACACACACACACACACACACACACACACACATGTCCAAGTAAGACAAATGTTTGATAATGAAGAAGGAGCAAATCACTCCAGAACACTTACCAACCACCCGCGAACTTTAAGAAAAGAGCACAACTTTGTTATTCATGTCAGACTTTTCAATTGCTTTTTTTCCCCCTTCAGTTGAAATCTAAAAAGAGAGGCTACAATATAAACACTATGAAATATACAAACTTATATTTCTCATTTGTGTATGATGGTTCAAAAAGTCTGTGGTCTGTTATGGCGGATTGGTCATAATATGTGAAGCATTGTTGTGAAAGCAGGCGCTTGTCGAAATATTGAAATCGACGAAACCGGTGATTTTCCACCAGTTTGGAAATGTTTATCGAATTTTGTTTTTTTGGCTCAACACCTTAAATGTCCACATAAGAACATATAATATTCATCAATGTGGATTTTATTGAAAAACGTTTACTAAAGGCAAAAGATATTGCAAATTTTGAGTTTCCAAGGACTCTCAAGCTACTGAAGTCACCAAACTTTAGTGGCCATTATCTCGCTATTTTTATCTCAGAAACCAGACGACCACCAAAGCCTTCAGTTGCAAGTACCTCGACTTCTATTCAAGATAGATTGGTATTTCTACCTCGAAAGCAGAGCAAGTAAACAGGCTTTCAGATGATACCAATAACTCTACATGCCCAAAAATTGACGAGCGCCTGATTCCACGGCGTCATCTATATCTATACATATTATATTTGCGAAAGTTCGTCCCTTTCGCCGCCTAAAACTTCCGAACCACTTAACTTTTGAATTTGGAAATATTAATGGAGGTTCAGAATTATTTAAATGGTTCACAGTTATATTAAGGAGTCGGAAGTCACTGTAGTTTAATTTTCAGTTTATCATTAGTTTCGTTTAGATTTAATCTTGAGAAAGTCTGTCTTCTAAGAAGCCATTGTAAACAAGTGAGGCTTCTGTTCACAAACAGTGCACACGTTTTCCATATGGCAATGGCTTGACGATCGATTCTTTTGAGTCCGTTCATCGAACGGGTTACGCAGCAAGTGATAAGTTATTATTATTATGTGAGGCGTGCTGACAAAATGAGTTACTTCTCACAATCCACAAATGCAGATATTGGCCAAAAAATCGTCACTAGGGTCAATTTCTAGGTTTTCTATTGATGCAATATTCATTAAGTACTAAATTATGCCTTATGTTATTTCATACTAACAAATGGTAAAAACTGAGCCTATAAGCATGATATTCTTTTTCCATAGGGCTCAAATCCGAGAAGTAACTCATTCTGTCAGCATGCTTCACAAATTTATAGTATGTGTTTGCTAAGACCCTGAGGCCAAAGAGCTAACGACACTCCTACAGACCCAATAAAGGGGGCCGATCTTCCTACGTCTGAATCGATCTTGAATGGGAAGGCATACTTAGAAGTGGGTTTACAATACATACCCCCCCCCCCCACTTCTTTGTGCCACAAAGAAAAAGAATCTTTTGACCTGAGCAGTGAAACGGAACTCATCCTTTTTCTTTCTTTTTCTCACACTTTCTTTCCTTCTTTCCTTCTCTCTCTCTCTCTCTCTCTCTCTCTCTCTCTCTCTCTCTCTGTCTCTCTTCCTCTCTC